TGTTTTTTAATATTGGAAAACAGTCTTGGGCTGGTGAGATAGCTCTGTGGACTAAGCACCTGCTTAGGCAAGCACAGGGACCAGGTTTCAATCCCCAGTAGTGCATGCCACACCAGTTCTGCCCCAGGCGCACTGAGCCAACAACAGAGACCAGATGTGGTGGTGCATGCCTGTAATCCCAGTGCTGGGGAGGCTGAAAACAGGAGGATCACTACAGTCTAAGCTGCATAGTGAGATCCTATACCAAATACATTAAAAAAGAAAAAAGTCTCATAAAAAATTTTAAACTACATTCATGAGTTCATGTTTAAAAGGTCAATTTTTAATGTAGACACCAGTATCACCCAACTTTGATATATGACAAGGTCAGGAAAATTTAGGGGTTGGCCAAATAGCTTAGCAGATTAGAGCGCCTACTTAGGCAGACTCAGGGACCAGTGTTCTCCCACCCCGGGGCGTACTGAGAAGGTGACTGAGACTGGCTGTAGTGGTGCGTGCCTGTAATCACAGCACTTGGGAAGCTGTAAACAGGTGGATCACTGAGTCCGATCTATGTAGTGAGACCCTGTAGACCCTGTCCTAAATACATTAAAAAAGGAAAATCTAAACTGCACTTGACTTCTGCCTCCAAACACAACCTAAGTCCACATGGATACAGCAACATAAATAGCTGCCAGGCAGGGGACCCTAAGCTACTGAATGATAGCTTTGTTTTTCCCAGAGTGAGAATTACAATGGAGAGATACGGGAATATAGTATTTAGATCTCACTAACATGCTACTCCAGTAAAGGGATCACCTTTTGATAATTAGAGACATAAAATCTTGTAGGGTTACCTGTTTTTTCATGTTTTCTGCAGTGTGATAACAGTTTTAGTACTTAAGATAGGGAGAAGAAAAGTATGTTAAAAATAGACTTTCAAGTTCAGATGCTTTCTACTTAAAGTTAGTAGAATAATCCGGTTCATAGACAAAGTACAGTAGTGGTCAGCAGGGCAGGTGACAATGAATTTGTTTCATGGATACAGACTTCAGTTTAAAATAGTAATTAACAAGTCCTGGGGATTGGCAACAGAGATGGCTGTACATGTGTATGTTCTCAGAATTAGGCAGGTATGGTGCATACACCTGCAATCCCAGCACTCTGAGACACTGAGGCAGGAAGATCAAAAATTTTAGCCCAGCCTTGCCAATTCAGAAAGATCTTGTCTCAAAACTAAAAAAATTAGGGGCCGGGGAGATGGCTCAGTGGAATAAGCGCTTCCCTGGCAAGCACAAGGGCCTGAGTTCAATCCCCGGTTCTGCCAAAAAAAAAAAAAAAAAACTAAAAAATTTTTGGGCCAAAGATGTAGCCTAGTATGTACAAGGTCCTATGTTTAATCCCTAGCGCCATGCAAAAAAACAAAACAAACACTAAGAATTTTAAGAAGCTGGGCATAGTGATACAAACCTATAATCCCCGCATTAGGTAGGTTGACAGGAGAATAAGGGGATCATGAGGTTGAGACCAGCTGAGGCGGTATGAGTCCAAAGCCCAAATGAATGACACATAGTAAGAACCATCTTTAAAAAAAACAAAAGCAAAAAGTAAATATAGCCTATCTACCAATGACTGGTATATAGAAAAAAGTTGGTGGGCATTTTGTACATTTCTCTGATTACTTATGTTAATACAGTAGTTTAGCAATTACCATCCTTTTTTAAAAAAATGTTTATTTATTTGGCACTTGGTCTCACTATGCAGCTTGTACTCAGTGATCCTCCTGTTGCACAAGCAGGCTGGGGTTCTGGGGCTAGCACAGCAGGCAGCACAAGAAATTGAACCCAGATCCTTGCATTTGTTAGGCAGGTACTCAGATCACCAAGCTATCTCCCTAGGCCCACAATTACCATCCTTTAAAGACTAGGACTCCTTTCTCTGACCAAAAGCATTACTCTTTAAAATTTGAGAGAAGGTCTTGTTATACAGTCCAGCCCGGGGCCTTGAACTCACTAGGTAACCTAGGCTAGTCTCAAACTCATGGTGGTGTTCCTGCCTCAATCTCCCAGAATGCCAGAATTACAAATGTGACCATCACACCCAGCTAGCTAGAGAATCTTATCATTTGTAATGAGGCAGTATTTTTTAATGAGGCCTCAAAAACTGACAATAGACAACTGTACTGTGCATTTCTGTTGGTCTATGGAAAGGAGCAGTTAATTTGTCTCATTTCCTTTTATCAACTGTTTGTACTTTTTCTCTTAATTTCATATACAGGGCTGGCCAAATAGCTCAGCAGATTAAAGCACCTGCAAGCAGGTGCAGGGGCCAGGGGTTCAATCCCCAGGCCTGCTGTGCCAGCCCCACCCCCAGGGCACACTGAGCAGGCAATTGAGACTGGGCGTGGTGGCGCACCCTTGTAATCCTAGCTCTTGGGAGGCTGTAAACAGACGGATCACTATGAATCCGATCTAGTAGTGAGACCCTAAACACCCTATAGACCATTCCCTAAAAATAACCCCCCAAAAAATTCATAAAGATTTCTTTATTTTTTCCTTTCTTCCAATTTCACATGTATATATCTGGTAATATGAATAACTAGTTGGAAGACAACACTATGTATTACAGCAAATACTGTGAAATTCATATTACTTTGTTAAGTGAAATTCTGTATCACTTGTAATTTTTTTCAGTTTTAATTCTAATTTGTACTCTTTAAATTTTTTTTAAAAAATGACAATGGCTTACTTCAACAAGATCATACTTATGAACCAGGCATAGTAGCCCACCCTTATAATCCCAGCTACTATACAGGCTGAAGAGAGAGGATTACAAGTTAGAGGCCAGACTGAGTTACTTCATGGGACCTTGGTATTTATAGCTCAGCATTCCCTGGATTTGATCCCCAATACAGCCCCCAAAGTGTAATTGTAGGAGATGGCTCAATACAGTAAGTGCTTGCCTGGCAAGTGCAAGGGCCTGAGTTCAATCCCCAGTCCCGCCAAAAAAAAAAAAAAAAAAACAACACCAGGAGTTCATGATTGGACCCGTAACATCACTAAGATCCATTAACTGCAGTGATTATGTGGAAATTTAACTGAGAAAACTCCATCCGAAATTGCATTTTTTCCTACAAATCTGCAAATACTAAAAACATTCTCCTAAGGATGTCTGTCTGCCAACTTCACTTTTAAGAGCTAAGACTTAAGAAATTTCAAATTCTCCCACACATACTAACAGACACCCAGTGTACTCATGATCCTATATTTAGTAATTAAGCCAAGTGACAAGAAAGTTGGTAAGACAAGTGAAAACAAGCATATGTCATGACTCAAAAGAGGTACATACCAAATGACAGCAAGCACTGACTCACAAAAGTCAAAATCTCCACCAGCCAGAAAACTGAACTGCGTGGGCCGGGGAGATGGCTCAGTAGAATAAGTGCTTCCCTGGAAAGCGCAAGGACCTGAGTTCAATCCCCAATTCCACCAAAAAAAAAAAAAAAAAAAAAAAAAAAAGAACTGCTAAAACAATTCCTATGAAATAGCTTGGGCGGGGCCTGGAGTTTATGGTAGAAAATGTACTAAAATGAGCAAAGTTCATTAATCCATCATATGGAAGCACAACATTTGACCCTGTGGCCAGGCATGATGGTACACACCTGTCATCTCAAGGCTCAGCAGGATGAGGCAGGAGGATCACCTCAAGTTTAAAGTGAGTCTGTGCTATAGCAAGTTCAAAGCCAGCCTGACCTTGTCTCAAAAAAAAAAAAGAATTCATTATAAAAACAAATGTTTACTTCTCAAATTTGAGTAACACAGAAAGATTATTTACTAAAAAAATTTTTAAAGTTGATAACCACCAATTAATTTTTTTTTTTTTCCTTTGGCGGAACTGGGGACTGAACTCAGGCCCTTGCACTTGCCAGGCAAGTGCTTATTCTACTGAGCTATCTCCCCAGCCCCTTAAAATGTTAAGGAAGTTTACTTACATAGTTGTATTTTTTGCTTTATTTTGTAGTGCTAAGACTCAAACCCAGAGCCTCATGTTGTTTGTTGTTTTTTTTTTTTTTTTTTAAAGAATCAGGTCTGAGGCGATAGCTCAGTAGCCTAAGTGCATGCCTGGCAAGAATAAGGTCCCGAGTTGGATCCCTAGTTAAAAATTAAAAAAGATCAATACTATAATCTAAAATATCAATGCAATCTTAGAAGCAGTTCAGTTACCCAGTCAGTTAATCTGTGATGATTTTAACCATTTTATTGTCAGTGTACCCCTAAAGGATGGCTGGATGATGACACACAGCCTGATAAATTATCTGTACATATAGTAACAATGTCTGGAAAGTGCACTAACTGCGATATTCAAGACAAACCCAGATAAAGTTGAAAATAATTATAAATTAATATCTTGGTCCATTACACTTTAACTCACCTAATTTGCTGAGCTCTTTATTCACTCCCCATTACATGAAATTACATGAACTAACAAAATTAAAGAGCATAGGTCAATACTGACTAGTCAGAACTTTTTATCTAAATGAGCTCTGACAAGACCTGGTAGAGATAAGCAATTCTCTCAAACACAAATAGTGAATTCAGGCTGCCAGTTAATAATAATGTATACACTAAAACTGGCCCCACTCGTCTCTAGCTGGTTTCGTGATCTGGAATAGCCCAAGACTGTGACAAGGTACATCCAGGACAAGCCTAAACGCTTTATGCTTTCAATCTGAAACATTACAACCTTGGAATATACTATATACTCTACTTATTTTTTAAAAAAGCCTTTAGGCTTTTTTAAAATAACATCTAAAAGTAACCAAAAAACCCAACATAACATCCTATTTTTGCTTAACTCTATTAACATAGGTACAGAATTAAAAGGAAAAAATAATCATCAGAAAAGCCTACATAAGCCTATGTAAAAATAATTCCAAATTACTTTCAGAGGAGGAAAAGGCCTAACTAGCAATTACAAATTAATGAAAACAGGGAATGAAAAAAAGAAATGACAAAACCAACCCCTCCTCGCTGACCATCTACATGTATGGAACGGATGTGATCTGCCAGATCTGGGCTAGAGTTGAAGCAAGCCTGGCACTGGTCCCAACAACAATTATAGGCAATATTTTTGCTTGAAGAAGTAGTGCTTCCTTGTCCATTCATCATGGCTGGAGTTGAACGCCCACTGGAAATTGTGCTGTCTACATCCATTATAGTACTGCTTATGCTACAAAAGAAGAAAAAAGGCTGTGTTATTCCTAGAAATTCACTAACATGAATATGATCTAAGAAATACTTAAAAGATTACCATGACATCCTGCTCTATACAAATAAAGCATACCAACAATATATTATATTAGAAAACATCAATACTACAAAACTTTGAAATTGTTTAGTTGGCAATAAACTGCAAACCAAAGCAGAAACAAATAGTACCTGGAAACCAGATAGGGATAATTTACACAATTTCTGGCACTGAGAACTGCCCACCACCCAATAGTATGACCTACAGAAAATAAACCCAAGCATGTCCCCACAGTTTATCATATCCAATCTCATAGTCCTAAGCAGCACAGGAAAGTAATACCTTCCAGTCATAAACAATTCAGAATCAAAGCATTATCTTCACAGTTCTGCAAATCACTTGTTGACCTCAAATCTTTTCTTCTATTAATCTCTGAGGATAGAATTACTACTTTATCCTATTTCTTTCCATCTCAAAGAAAGTAAAAACTTTTTGCACCATTTTCTCTTCTAAAATGGTGTGTGTGTGCATGTGCGCACTTCAGTACTATAGGGTTTACCTAGTATGTACAAGGCCCTAGGAGCTCAATACTACAGTACAGTAAATCTTTACTTTTAGCTAAATCTACGTAAGCACTTTCTGGCCTTTACTGTTTCCCCACTGCACTCAGATTATAACTCTGGGAGCACTATACAACCACAACTTTCTTTTTTGAGGGGCTGGGGGAGGAACAGTATGTTGCTAAATCATCCAGGCTGGGCTTAAACATATTATCTTCCTATCTCAGCCTCTCAAGTAGCTAGGATTATGGTGTGCAGCACTATACCCAAGTTTTATGGGGGAAGTAGGGAGAGGTAACTTGGAATTGAACCCAAGGATGCTCAACCACTGAGATATTTGCCCTAGTCTTTCTCAATTTAGGTCTCACTAAATTGCCAGGTTGGACTCCAACTTACAATCCTCCTGCCTCAGCCTCCCTAAATGCTAGGATTATATATGTGCATCAGCAAACATGGGGGAGGGAGCCCTCAGCATATGGCCTAAGTTAGTCTCAATGAATTTTTTTTTTTTTTTTTTTCTTTCAGAACCGGGGATTGAACTCAGATCCTTGCGTTTGCCAGTCAAGTGCTTATCCTACTGAGCCATCTCCCCGGCCCCTCAATGAATTTTTTTTTAACTGATCTCTCTCCAACAAAAGACTGTGAGTAAAGATTTTTAAATGGCATTTTTATAGTATTTTGTACCAGTAATTATTTTACTTATTAAGAAACTACATACTGAGCCAGCCAGATAGCTCAGTTTAGGCAGACACAGAGGCCAGGGACCCCCAGGATGCCATGCAGGCCACGCCCCTACCCCCAGAGTGAGCTGAGACTGCAATTGAGACTAAGCTGGGCATGGTGGTGAGTGCCTGTAATCCTAGTGTTTGGGAGGCTGAGAACAGAGGGATCATGAGACCCTGTACACACACATAAATGAAACAACATACGAATTGTGCTCAAAATACTCAAAATTTCACATCTCAGGTACTATAACTTTTTGTCTTTTTTAATGCATATTTTTTCTTTATCTTCCTAATAGATAAACCACGTGAAAACTGCTCAGTAACATAAGGATCAAACAATATTTTTATACTAAGGCCACGGAAGTTATGCATTTGCTTGCAACTAAACAATACAATAGTTAAGCCACGTACAGTTATGTGCAATTGTAATCATAGCTATTCCACAGGTTGAGGCAGGAGAACGTTAAGTAAGTCTGAGGCCAGTTGGGGTAACTTGTACCTGTCTCAAACATAAAGGCAATCTGAGGGAAAGGGAGGATAAAAAAGGAGGGCATTATCACTAGTTAATTTGGGGCTGGCCCCAAACACCTAGGCTCAAGTGACCTCAGCCTCCCGAGTGCTAGTACAAGGCACAGCACCCAGCTTTATGTTAATTTTTAAAGGGTGTATCCGTCCCAACTTTTAATATAGAAAATTCGGGAGGCTGTGTATTTAAAATCGTAATGTTCTGCCCAATTTGCTATATGCAATCTGAACTGGAAAGCTGCGAACACACTAATAGTCTGGCCACAATTATTTTCAGCACATGCTCTGCAGAAGTAAAATGTTCACCTATATACCAATGCAAGCTTAGTCATTCATACCTAACAAAACTAACAGCATAAATTCTGTTAGCTTATTAAGTTTTATGATGATTTGAATCCAATGCCAAGTGGGCCTACTTTTTAAATTTAACAAAAACTGTTTTAGTAAAATGCTTTGGATAAGAAAAATGGATTTCCATTCAAAGCACAGTACAGGACAGTTCTTAAATTCATCTAGCTAGTCAGTACAGACTCTAAATTTCAACTACTAAAGCTTAAGTCTGAAACTGTAATCTCTACAAAAGCCTGAAATATGAATCTGTCCTGCAATATATTAATATTCATATACTGTTGCTGCAGATATAAACTGCAGGTATGGTGATTTCTCTATGATGAAATACAAATTTTTATTTCATCTCTAAAAACCTCAGGATTCATGAGGCTCTAAATTGTGATGAAACTACTGCCTCTTTCCCTTACCACCTGCTTTATATAAAACATTCAACTCTAAAAGCACATACCATAGTTATATAAGCCATTGTAATGTCATTCCAAAGGTAAATATTAGTAGTTTCGAACAAATAACCAATCATGCCCAAATTATAAGTAACCTCACAAAAAGTAATAAACCTTAGTCAACAAACTTGTGGAACAATCTCCTAAATCCAATGTGTAGTTTGATAACGCCAGCTCCCACAAGGCAGGAATGTTATCTGCACACCCAAGAGAGAGACAGATACAAAGTTACCCTCTGAAGTCACAGTGGACATCTGCCAGTTGAAAGGGAAGCCAAGAACAGGAAACACATCTCACCATGTCTACCTAGTAACCACATATCCACAGTGCTTTTATTAAGTCCAAAATTAGTTGAAAACAAAACCAGTCTCTTTTTTTAATAGGACAAACTAAAGAAAGATCACAAGACAACACCAGGGGAGACAACCATCAATATGGAATCTCTCTATGTGATGTTTAATCTCTCTACATGATGTAAGAAAGGAATCTTACAAAAACAACCCAAATAGCTGTGAGTACTAGGCACTGTCTAGGCAGCCCATGTGCAGCAACTTCACTCAAAAGCACTCAGAGAGGGAACAAAATCTAAATTTGCTGTAACACTGGGATTCAGCTGCAGAGTAGAAGCAGACCAAAGGAGTATGTCCTGCACTGCAGAATACCCATGACACCCCAGTGAGTGTGAGTCCCTGGCACCCTCCTCCAGTCTCGTGGGACTAACTGAAGTCCTGCCTCAGAGTCTCTACAATTTTCACCAAGTATCCAATCCTGAACCTACGGGGTCCCTTTGGGCCCCTGATGTAACTGTGATTCTTTTCACTACCCCAACTAATGAAGGCAATCACCCTGATGCAACATCGGGAAACAGGAGACAAAGGACAGGTTACTTCATTGTTCTCTCTTTTCTGAGATAAGGTCTCACTATGTAGCCCAGGCTTTCCTTGAACTCTCCACATAGCCAGTCAGGCCTCACACCTGCAGTCCTCTCCCTCAGCCTCCCATGTACAGGGCCTAGTACTGTGCCACCACCCCTGCAACAGCCCAGGTCACCTCTGATCATGACAAGACCTCAAGCTACATATAGATTTGAAAAAATACCACTGTTTAACCACCATGATGACTACAGAAACAATCCCCTTGACCTTACAAAAGGACCACAAATTTGTTAAAATTTTTCACTCAGTTAATTCTTTTCAATGAACACTTAGCTGATTCTGTGAAATATGACCAACTAAGCAGCCTGGTATTTGGAAGACATTCTACACTGGACAAAGCACTTATATAACACAGAAAATTTTAAAAATCTAAGGCAGTTTTTCTTTTATTTTAATGCGCATATCAACCTAGGATCTTACTAACTACAAACTCTGAATCAGCAGGGTTGGGTGGCTTTGGGCCAAAGCATTTTTAACAATTACCCAGTTGCTAACGATGCCTCATGACATTTTGAGTTGCAATGATGTAAGATAAAAAGTCCAAGTTAGTCTGCCCTGGGTAGCTAGTAAAATGTACAAAATCACACAATTACAAAGTATGAGCTTTACTGTCTTTCAGCAGCCCTTTTCAAGGCTTTACTGCATGGTACTGGGGGTGGGTAGGGCATGCCCACAGCACAGGTAAAGCTGACCACTGGGGGGAGGGGTGGGGTGCAGCACTGACTCTGCCACCTGTCCAGCAAAAGCCCAGCAGCCCAGGCATGGCAACACCACCTATAACGCTGAAGGCTGGGGTAGAGGGACAAAGAACTCAGGGTAAAACGGGAGGGGTTGTCTTTCATTAGATTTTGTAACTTGACAAGTAAAACCTACTGAGTAACAGTTATGATTTTCAACCTGCCTATACCAGTGTGCACCTGCAAAAATAGGACTTCATTTAAGCACACAATACCTGTTCACTCAATTCAACAGGGAAGCCAAAAGGTTCAACATTCACAATCTAAGGTCCTTCTAGGCAAATACCTGCCTGGAAGCCCTCACCGCGTGCTGGAGTTGTCAGCACTGAGAAAGCACATCAGCTGCCGGATGTGAAATATGACCATCTAAGCAGCCTGGTATTTGGAAGACATTCTACATTGCCGGATGACAGGCACAGGGCAGAGGCAGCACACAGATGCTCAGGGGCTGTTGCTGCTGCTGCTACTGAAGGGAAAGATCACTAACTGATTTTATTTTTTTATTTTTTTGCGGAACTGAGGATTGAACTCAGATCCTTGCGTTTGCCAGTCAAGCGCTTATCCTACTGAGCCATCTTCCCGGCCGCAACTGATTTTAGATTGCCAGTATAAACTTTTAAAAAACTACAAGGGGGGGGGGGGGGCTGGTGAGATGGCTCAGTGGTCTAAAGCACCTACTTAGACCAAGCTTAGCAAAGAACATAGA